GGCTGGGATAGTAACAATTGGTCAGTTTTAACTTCTGTAACTGTTTGATGAGAATCAACGTCTGTAAGCATTTGATGAGCCTTAGCTGGGATGAACAGGCTGTTTAGCTCCCCAAGATGATGCAGGAGGCTTTCTGAACACTGACAAATACATCCCTATGCCAGCTATTCTCTGCTCAGGTCTTCAGGGCTTTTCTGCTGGATTCCAAAGAAAAAAGGAATTTTTATAATATTACACCTGAAACTTCAGTATTGCAGAAGGCAAGCTTGGTTCAGGGACAACACAAAATACACAGGTTGGCAAGTGCCCTCACTGTAGCTTACTCAAACACTGGTGACTGCAAAGTCATTGTCACTGCTGTCCCCCTGCTGGTGCTGCATCTCTTGGTGCACATCACTTCTGGTATCCCCAGGCATACCTGCTTCTGCTGTAGCACAGGACATCTGGATTCACAACAGCGACACACGGGTGCCTGCATGATGAACTGCAAGAGCGTGGTAGGATGTCAGCTTGTAAGTCCCATTAGGGATTTTAAACATGACAGGCTAGGTGGTGGTTTGATGGCTATGGTACTGAGGGCAACAGCAGAAGAAGATGGAGAGTTATTGCTGGCAACAAAAGCGATTAGACTTCCTATATCCACGGCTATATGGAATACAGAATATGTATAAAAAAAATCCTCTGGCACAGAAATCAAAACTAAGGACAGACAGCTTTCAGTACAAGATCTTGGGTTGTATCATTCACAACAGATCATTGTTTTCCTATGAAACAATTCTGATTGGATTTTATGGCTAAAATACTGCACTAATTAAGGAAGGACTGGTTTACTTTCACAAAAAACAGCTACCATGTACCACTTTATTGGTACTTCCTGCCTGAACAGTGAGTATACAAGCCTTTGATATGAACGTCCCTGCTCTGAAGAAGATGCCACATAAGTTTCATCAGAGTATCTTTGCTATGTCATCAATTTTAATTCCAACCTGTACTTCAATATGCACATAACTATTTTCAAAGACAATGAAAACTTGAAGTTAACAGCATCAGTCACCAGCATTGCAGCTTTCACTAATTCTTTCACAACTTCAGAAAAATCTCTATACACATTGTGTAAAGTAGATACAGAATGTACAGAGGACAGGTTTCTATACAAAAGCGCATTTAGCAATTTAATTAGCAAAGAACCTGGGAGGGGACTCCATCGAAGCTGCACCATATACTGTAGCCCTATCTGTAAACCCATCTCTCCCCCCCAAAAAAAAACCAGAACCCCCACCTTCCCCTTGCTTTGGTTATGAACTATAGTCAAGGCTTCAACATTACCATTTTCTTTTTTTTTTTAATTGAAGAACTTATTTATAATTTGGAAATGGTTTAAAGTTATCCAGATGAGAGAGAATGCAAGAATGATTAACCAGAGTTAATAGTCAAAACAGATGAGCTTTGAATACTACTAGGATTTGCCCTTGGTAGATTAATAAACTATCTTTGCAATCCTTAAGTGGAAAATTCAACGTGGAGTTGTCTTTTCTATGCCCAAGAACTGCAAGATGAGTAAGCTAAAGAACATTAAACCAATAAATCGAACAACATTTGCCATGGAAATCTGGATTATAACAATGAATTTCAAGAGCCCCCAAAACAGTCAGGTTTATTAATATTTATAGACCAATGCACCAACTGATTTCAAAGCTGAAAAGAGTGTTAGAAGAAAAGAAATGGCTTCAGGCCATTCAGTGTAGATGAACAGTAAATACTGCCATTTTTATATATTTCTATATTGTATATGCGCTCTGACGTAAACAGTAAATTCAAGCAGGTCGGTTTGGTTCTTCCCCAGAGAATGATCTTCACAGGTTTCAAACCACAATATGAGAACTAAAGTTAAGCCCAGGAAAGGCTTGCAAAGCCTCTTCTTGCTTTCCTTAGTAAGCACCCCATACTGAGCATACTGTAACCATCTTTTAATCAGTTTCCCAGATAAAGAAAAATAGATATTATCTTAACAGAGACAAAGGGTGACATTAGATACATACACACAAATTAGCTTCGTCAGGCAGCTAGCTTTCTTCCTCATATTTAAAATCATATTAGAAAAGAATGTTCTCTATTGTTTACAGTCCTATTGCAGGCAGACTGTCAGTGCTCCTTCTAAGCCTTTTTAGAGAAAAAGTTACCATGGAAGCAAACCGTTAACGTTACAGAGAGCAAATTGGTTACATTCATGTGACAGTGGGTACACAGCACCTGGATACACAGCTTCAGTACCATGGAGCCATACAACTGTGAGTTTTTTCCTGTGTGTCTCTTGTTTTGCTTTTAATCTTGCCATTTTTTATCTATGAATAAAGAGCAGAGATTTGATTCTTTTTTGAAAAAGCACTAATAAGAATGCATGATTTTAGCAGCCTGTCATTCTTCTTTATCTATCCGAACCCAATAACCTGTAGGTAACTTGCTATAAAACAAAGCAACAGCCAAAATGGACAATGCTTGAATCAGCAAGACCAGTTTTTTTGAGAGAAGAAACCCAAACATGTAGAAGTATGCAGGAACTCTTGAATCCCACAGCTAATTCAGGCCTGACTGTCTGAGGTGCCAAGTACTTGGCAAAGACAACATTCAGGTAAGCAAGGTGTTATTCTGCAGTCCTATCAGACCATAAATTATAATCATGGAACCCCTGGAAATCCATTTTCTTCTACAGTTTTAACTGTCACACAAGTGACTATAGTATCCAGCTGAAGATGATATGCCACAATCAGCTACTGGGGCACCTAGGACCTTTTCATTCAATGTAGCAGATGAGCAACTGGACCCATCTAATCACTTGGATTACGTTATACTTACATGCTCACACCAAGATAAAGCTGGAAATACTGTCCTCCCTCATTTCATGATCTCTGGAAGCTAGTAGACAGGTGACCAAAAAGAACTATACCTCAGCAAAATAAGGGGGTCTTCTTTCAGCAAAGCCTGAGGGATTTTAAACTCTGAAGAGTTGCTGAAACAGAATAAAGTTACACAGTTTCATGCCCCACCACCCTGAGATACCACACCTGTCTTAGAATTCATTTCAGAGTCTCAATTTTCTACAGTACTAAATGTGCACTTTTCTTCAGGGAAAAAAAACAAACAAACAAAAAACAAAAAACCAAAACCAACCACATTTCAAAGTCACTGCAGAAAATAAAGGTTGTCCTGAACTGTTTACACACAGTGAAATATTCCATGAATTCATCCATTACAGCCACGGTAAATTGCAAGAGTTCAACAACTTCACCCCAAAATTAGCTGAATTGATAGCAATTAATTTTTTTCTTCCACCCAAGATATTTAAAAGAAGCTCTGGATTTAAGTCGATCTGGACTCTCAGTAACTTGTATACTGTTGAGAAGTTTCTGGTACTGTTCCTACAGGAGGAAGAGAGGCATCAACCAGCTATAGTTGGTTTGTACAGCTTGTTTGCAATATAAGGAAATACTGCCAGGTAACAGTCACTTCTAGTTAGTGGACAAGTAACTGGCCACACAGGATTGCTAACGCTCGAGTTTAGAAATGACACTACATGGCTTTAGCTAGTCAGCGGCCAAGGCTGGATACCTGTGTCTAGCAGCAGTAAGAGTGACCAAGTTCACACATGAGTTTGACTATGAACCTCATTTATTTCTTATTGAAGCCCTTTCAGAGGCTGTTGTTCAGGTATTTTACTCATCAGTTTATTCTGAGGATACAAGGAATGCCACTTCTGAAAGGAAAAAATACTTCACCTGTCAGGGCTAACAGGTCTGCGCAGGACATGCAGAATGAATATAAGCAGTCCCATGTAAAATCAGTCATGCAATTCTGCAGGATTGGGCTATATCCTGCAATTACAGGCACCTGTGCCTACACTAAACTGCCAAACTCCTGAATTTACAACAGCAAATGAAAAGTAATAAATGAAGCAAAATGAACGTAATAAAGCATCAAGATAATAAAAAATTACCTCCTAAACTCAGAAATAGAAAACTATTTTATAATCTTTTAAGCTTCACATTGAATTTTCAAAGTATCATTTTTTAAGTCAGCTGTGAGGGAAAGAAGTTCTGCAACAAGTAGTTCCAAGATAAAGACAGAAGTCATCTTGCAGATTGTCACAATTAGGAAACAGGTTAAAACTATTCTACCTCCCTACCTGAAAGCCATGATTTTACCTCGTGTTCTTAGCAAGAAAAATTCCAAAAGCAGATAGACCACAAAAGGAGAATTCTGTAACGTGTAAAAGGGTAACAACCCACAGAGAAGACACATCCTCAGCTAAACATACAATCAAAAAGCACCAAAGTTGTGTGCCACTTGTTTGCACTTCTGTTTCCAGTTGCATTTTTAACTATGGTAAGTAGTGTCCTAGACAACTTAACTGCAGATTAGTGCACTTTCAGTGCAAAAAGGTGGCTTTAATTTGAATCTTTTCATAGCAATACTAAGGATGATACTAGTCAACGACCAGTGACAATCATACTACAAGATACTGAGCAGCAAAATAACTTTCTGAAGACTAAGCTTGCAAGTTTGGGGTTTTTTAATTTTAATTGCTTCCTAAAGAACTGCATTGTCAGGCATTGCGTTACAGATTCCCTGAACTAGAAGTCCTGCTTCTTGTTTTCTGTGTAGTTTGAGTTAAATCATAACTTCTAGAAAAGGCTTTATCACAGTACTTTGTTTTTGTATGATCCAGGAGCAAGACCAAAGAAAGCCCTGTAGAACTAAAGACTCTTTTCCTAAGATGCTAAACGATCTTCCTAATAATGGGAAAGGAAAACAGAACAAGCCAAGTGCAATATTAACCCTAAGTTGGAGAAAAAAAAAACCAAACCCAAAAAGCTGAAGCATAATGCATATTTAGTGTCATCCAAAAGCACCCACAGACTTATGTCTTGCACGTAAGCTAGCACATTAGCCAAGTTCAGATTTCCGTAAAATCGTGTCTATCCAGCAGCTTTTCAGAAGATAGTTAAGTTTCTGAAATCTTTGTTGTAAAACTAGTCTCAAAAGGTGAAGTTACTCAATACCTAGACCTTCTTAGCAAAATGACACTTGAGAAAAGATCTGGTTTATACTGTTAACACTAACCAAAATTTGGTCGAGAAATACATGTAAACAATAAGGATAATACATTTAAGGCTTAGAAAGAACACTGATAAATTCACCCCTGTCACATTAAAACATCCACATCTCCTTCATGGTCCTCCTCAGTCACTTTTAAAGAGAGCACTTCTTCATTAAGAAATAATCCACTCAGTCTTTCCTTACGAGCTTGTCTTTGTTCTTTCAGCTGTCTCTTGCGTAAGGCCTTTTGCTGTAGCTTCCGTTGCTTGGAACGTTTCTATCAAAACACAGAAGAGGAATAAAAATAAGATTTTATTAGGTAGATTTGAAACCACCTTTAAAGCTGGCAAATATATGTTAACCTTTAAAATAACATCTGCTCTGAAAAATAACTAAAATGAATTCTCGGAGGTGGTGCAAGCATTCATCCAAAATCATATCTAACTTTAAAGTATCAAGACCTCCACACTGGAGATTGAAATTATGGAGACAGGACAAGTGCCACAGTACTACTTTAACTGCAGCACACTTCACTAGGTCACTCCTAACCAAGTAATCTCATTTCATGTGTTCAAAGAACAAACTGAAGCAACTGTATCAAGTTAGACAGTTTAATACACATGCACAGAATTAGAAACTTTACTTTGGAATCCCGGATTCTTTCTGCAGCACTTGTGGACAAATTACTATCACTGTGTGCTCGACTCATGTTGGCACTCGAGTTTGAAGCGGAGTTAGCAACACTAGAACCACTGCTGCTTGCTGAGCTGACCATGCTGGCACTGCTGCTGCTGGCACTCGCGCCACTCACACCACTGGTACTTGCACAACTGTAGCTACTCCTCTTCCAGCTTTCCCTCGCAGGCCGCTGACGAGGTCCATGTTCCTTGATATAGTTTCTCACCTTCAGAACAGAGGAAGCAGAATTACTAAAGCCTGATACATTCTAGACCAAGATACTCCTTTCCATGGAAAAAACACAATTTGCCTGTTAATAATGATCGATTTATCGGATCAGTCCAGTTTTGCCACATTTTGCTGTGGCTGCTTAAATCCCATCTAGCAGTCATCAAGAGAACTTAACTAAGCACTTAGTTGGTATTAACTTCATTAGGGAAGGAAGAAAATCAAGTAAAAAGGCTTGGGGTTTCTTTCCCTCTCCTGCCCCCAAGCTTTCTACTCAGTCCTCCCCAATGAATTCCAATCCTTTGGAGTTTGAAATGCTAGTTTATCTTCAGTAAGCAAATGAAGTTCCTCTACCACCTGAAAGTCACACACACCAGCAGAGGATTAACACGTATTGAGAATATGTAACCAGAGTCTTTCATATATAGGTTTAATACATCAAATATGCTTTTGAACTCTGTTTTCTCTCATTGACAATACTGTACTCTAGTTTATCTCCCTATATAACGATTATATATAAAAACTGATCACAACTCCGTAACAGATTTTGCAAGACTGTCAGATGCTGGAACCCCAAAGTCAAACGTACAAACCCTAACTCACCTGTTTCAGTTTCTCATCAGTGAGACAGTTCAATTCAATAATGAATTCACTATCTGTAGGCGAGATCTGAGCAGTAGGATCAATAATCTTAATAATATCAAGTTGCTCTCGAAGGCCCATCTCTGTACTGACTTTGCGACTCAAATATTCAATATATTCAACCTAGGACCCAAAGAAAGACATGTCATTTTAAGCACTATTGATTCTAAATGAGTGTCAGAAAAACAAGAGGAGCAACAGAATAAAATGTGCTCAAATACTGCATTTCCTACCAGTCTAGCCTCATTGAGTATCCTAAAAAACTCATGGTGAAAACTCGAGTACACAATAAGCTGCCTACTACAGATGCAAGACAAGAAGATTTAGTTTTAGGACTCAAGCAGTACCGCGCAGGTCTACATTTACACCTGAAGCAATCGGTATGTCTTTTAAGATGTGGCACTAATTGAAAGTTCTTCTGTATATTACAGTTCTCACATAGGAAAAAAAGTCAGTTTCACCTGTTCATCATTTGTCATTGCACTCCATGGAAGTTCATCAAGATTCCTATGCTTGTTTTTCTTTTTTGGAAGCAGACAAGGAGAGCTTGGAATACTAGGTATAACATCAGAAAGTACATCACTCCCACTTGTAATGTCGCTGCCAGGCAACTTGTGATATGCAAGAGAAAGAACAAAGCCTTAGAATACAGTAGGCAGATTTGAAGTAATTCTAACACTATTAACAATTCAAAACATACCATCAGATTAGCAAAGCATCACTATCCATAGACTCTAACTTAGTAATTACTCCTAACCCTGCAGTATTCCTTTGAATCTTCCAACAAATGGCAATTATAGCAAACTCAATTCACACTATTCTCTACCTATCAATCCTCTTTTTAAACAGTTGCATTTAAGACAACAACAGAATGATGTGACATTTCAACTGTTTCCCTTCTCCACTGGTGCCAATTGTCCATTACAACCCAAACCTAAATCTCAACCTCCCATTTTAAAGCGTAAGTCTAGTTTAAGGAAGATCATTTTAAAGTAGGTTTGTAATTTATACCACATCCCATAATTACACAAGACAATTCAATTAAAAACACTTTTCATTTTCCTGGAAGCAACTGCAGAGCTTTAGCTTCATTTATACACCTGACATGTAATTTCTGAATGCACTTCCAGTTAAAGTGACAGCTGGATTACTCATACTCAGATTCTGCCAGATAACACCAGAAAGAGAGACAAAGAGTCTTTCCAAAATTCTGCAAGTCCAATCAAGTATGGCTCTTAAGAAAGGCTTGTTTTAAAAACAAAGAATAATTGAGAAAAGCTAGTTACTAATCAAAGATGCTGACAGCTAGCTGAGACATGGGAAATTGCTTCTTTTCAAATCAACATTTCACAGCTCAGTAAAGCTCTGAATCTTTGGGATCCAATCCTAGCTGTTCCCACAGGCTGTAACATAAAAATGCACTTGTAACTTCTGTGATACAACATACACAGATACTAGCAGTTAGACTAAAAACAGTAAGAAATTCAGAGCTAATCTCAGTCTTAAGACTTAGTGTTGTTTTAAGTTCATTTGCATCTTCTGGAGCAGGATTTGCACTTTCTCAAAATCAGGATTTTCAGTCCTTACACTGGACTTCACAGACTCTGTCCATGCTTTGCCTACGCTTCCTGACAAAACTTACAAGTATTCCTCAGTTTCCTATTTCAAAGCTATGTATACGCTCACAGTCGATTTAAGTCCGTAAAGGCGATTTAAGTCTATAATATATAAACCAATCTGCATATCACAATTGAAAAAGTGCTGAACAAAGACAGCTACCACAAACTAGAGATACCTGACCAGGACTGAATCCAATACTGACTAGGAAAAAGGAGGATGTGATTCAGCTTCATGCTTTCCCCATCCTGGTGAGACAAAGTAAGCTTGGTACTCTTGTACAGGACAAAAATAAAAAGATGGGAACAGGCTATGGTAAAAGCTGCTACACTTCATCTAGGTGCCAGCTCTATTCCAAAGAAAGATTTAATATGACCAACCCACTGGAAGCAGACATCTACAAGCAGATTCCAATAGCAGGGCAGATCCTTAGTACAAAGGCTCTAAGCTCATGGTTACAAGACACATGTTGTTGCCTAAGACCAAAATACCATAACATATAAGCATCCCTCTTTGAAGACCTGACCTTCAGTCTCTCCTCTAGTTTAAGAACGCTGGAACAAAATGGAACTAAGCATTTTCTTTTATCACTGAAGACTCAGTGATCTGCTCTTACGTTCAGTAGTTACCCAGAAACAAATGCTGAGGGTTCTTCAATAAAAGCTAAACCAGCACTTAACAGCCTATACAGAATTTCACATTTACAGTGGAAATAGTTTACCTGCCACTCAAACTCACTGTCTGACCAATCCCAGTACGTGCTGATAGAAGAAGATACATCACTGCAGACACTCCCCTCGGGGAACAAATCAAAAGAGGTGAACTCCTGGTCATCCAAGAGAGAATAACAGTCATCCTGATCCCCAACGGAAACCGATGAGAACAGCTCCTCACTGCACTCTGAGCTGGCTACGCTGGTTCCACATGATGTCAAGTTCCACCTGCAAAACAGAGAAAGCAGCAAACTATTAGTATCATGTGGCCTGGAAAACTCTTCTAAGCCTCATAAAACTGCCTCTACTTTGCTCGTCAGTAACATTATACATTGATTTTATTGCTAGAATTATGTGAAGCATTCAATTTTCAAGTATTTTTACAGGTCCATATTCAAAACCAAAGGGAATTCAACATTTAAAATGGCAAGGCAAAAATCCATATACTGCTAGTAGAATTACACCTTTATTTTAGTATACTAACAATTTCCACCCCAGAGCCATAATTCCTGTAGTGTGTAAATTATCTTTTTTGGTTTTGTTGTGGTTGTTTTTTTAAAATACACTGACCTAAAAACATAATTTCATGTATGTTGGAATACATAAACTTGCACGTAAACTGAAACAAGCAAAACTAACAAGCGAATCAACTGGACTTTAGGATAAGTAAGAGTCAAAGGAAATTCTAGGTTGCTAATTCCCCCCAAAAACTAAGGCTTAATCAGGAAACTCACTATGGATATACCCAAGGCTCCCATAGTCACTATTTTCAACTCTGGATGCTGAAAATATTGGATATGCTGTTGGAATGCAACCACGTGAAATGCAAAAATGACCTGTGTGAAATGCTGCCATGCCAAAACTGAACACTTTCCCATCCCCCCTTCATAATTTCATTTAGAATGCTGTTGCTAAAGGAAAGCATTTGAGGACTCAAATTTCACAGAACGGGTTTTTTCAGTCTAATGAGAATAAGCCAGAATTTAACAAGCTCATGAAATCAGTCTCCATATCTAGATTTATTTTATACATTGGTGAAAAGTAGGTCAAGACAACTATGAGTCAGCACAGCACTGCCACATGGCTGTAACAATCTGTCTGGTGAATTTTAGAAGCCCTTTTCAAACCCATGCCATCAACTCCCATCCCATCAGCCTTTCCACTTCAGCCTGGGTCACTAGAAAAACATTCCTCTATCCAGTTGCAAAAGCTGAGTGATGCCAACACCCAGAAAGGCTGGTCCCCACTGTTGTTATTTAAGCTGCACACCAAGATAGCTAAATATGTTTGTGATGGTCTCACTCCCACACCTCTTTGGCCAGCAGTGAATTTATCCAGTGTTAAAGACATTTCAAACCTTTTCTTTTAGCAGATTCAGGAGATCTTGTCCTCCCTTTTCTGCAGCCCTTACACATGTGTGATTTTTTTACTGGTACAGACTTCTGTGAACAGGGAAATCAATATAGAGTATATAGAATCATAGAATAGTTAGGGTTGGAAAGGACCTTAAGATCATCTAGTTCCAACCCCCCTGCCATATAGAGATAGAGAGCAGAACATGAGCGTGGTGACACAGCACACTTTTGAACTTTACTACGATTTCACTATTCATGAAATATTGATGACAGGAAAAACAGAATGGACAAAGTTTCCAGACCCATCAAAACAGAGGATGAGGTGCGGGGGCTATCCCACCAACCAGCTACACCCAGACACTCCAGGTTTGCAGTATCACTGCAGGTACAGGCAGTCAGCCCTCGCCTTCTCATAACTAGGGGATGCTGTACCCGCTGGGGTAAACTGGATTAACAAGATGTAGGAACTACATTAAAATTACTCATTACTTAAAAAGCCAGAAAGCCTTACATGAACACCATGGACTGAGCTGCGCATCTCTTATGTCTCAATCAGTGCAAGACAGAGCATGTCCTTGTCCCAAAGAAGAGAAATACCCATTCAAGATGCCCAAACATGGGTTTGTAAAATGAGCAAGCCAAAGTAATGCGCACAAGTAAAAGGCAGTGCAAAGAGAAATGTACTATATCAATTAAATGCAAATTTGGTGAATATCACACACTCGTGTTACAGATATGCTATGAATACATCTTACTGTTCATGTCACAATTGAGTCTTTCAATATAAGAACCAGATCATGAAAATGCTTCATATTTCATCAAGGCTCTTCACAGTGAATCATTTAAGAGTCTGTAATTAAAAGCTTGCCCTTGTGAATGACACTTTTAAAACATTATTTCCATGATATCACACAAATTCAACTGAAAGATTACCTTATTATCCACTCTTCAAAATGCTGTAATAGAAACCCTAGTAACTAGTAAAACTATCTTGCAACTCTGGAAACGGAACTAAAGCTACCCCACGGGTACGATCAAGATGAAAAGTCACAAACTGTTCCCAAAAATAAGCTGTTGCTATATTCAAGCTTAATACCATGCATAAACAGTAGCAGAATGACGCTCTTAGGTAAACAGGACAGTGGGTTTGATTTAGAGACACAACTGGAATTCCTTTGTAGAGCTGCTTTTGCATTTTTAGAATAGACCTCTTCTACAAATTACAGACATGCCCTTAATTAGTAGCATGGGATGGAAATGCTTCTGCAGGAATTGGTGCAGCCACCGAACTGCCTGACTCATTCTGAACCTCTGCAGGCTTGCTTAGTGTCCACGCAAGGCCTGCTTTTAATTACTTATAAGCACACCACTCTTCAGTTCCCTGTCCTACAGTGCTCAAAACAGCGTTTTAAGAAATTTAGAAAGGAATAAACATACCTTAAAAACCGTCCAAGCTCACACTAACACTCTAACCTTATTTAGCCGAAGGCAGGCTGAGCCCACACGCAGCC